TCCTGATTTTTCATAGACTATAAACTTTGTTCCTTATAGTAACCCCATGCTTCCACATGTTTTCCTGACTCAGTCATAACTTTTACATTAAACTGAGATCTGAGAGGTAGACAGATTCCTTATTGAGCTCTTACTCTTAATTTTAAAAGAGTCTCAAAGAGTCGCATGTTGCTTAAAACCCACCTCACCCCCCACCAAATGCTGCCTTTCAATTGTTTCATCTTGTTCATGGATTACTACATAGGAACAATGATGAGAAATACCAAAAGAGAAGAAGGGACATTAGACTTTATGGGATTTGATTACTCTGTGTGGTGAATATATATCTCAATCTCTTCGTCTCTCTTCTCATTGATATAAAATTCACAAAGCATCTGACATTCACAATGTTGTGTAACCATGACAACAGCCTAACTCCTGAACATTTCACCATCCCCAAACCCTGAATGTGTGCATGTGAACATACTTGAAAGTTGTACCTTTAAATCCCATGCCATCATAAGGCTGCTAAGACTATTGCCTGATCCAATTGAGTTGCACACACAAAAACATTTTACAAAGTGTTGGCAATTAAAAGCTGTCATTATGATTTATAGAAGATAAATAGCAAACAGCAGATTACTTATAGAAAGCAAATAGTAAACAACAGGAATAGATTGGAGGTGAACCTGTCTCCTCCACCCTCGTGAATAACACCACCTAGTCTCACAGGAAAGGAAACCACCATGTCTAAAAGTGGACTTGCTCCCTATTTCAAATTATTCGGTGTCACTCCACAGCCATGGCATACATTAGGTATCAGCAAATCCCTCTCTCTCTCTCTCCCCACCAGCTAGGGTGGCTGTGTCCATTCTGTTTCCTTGGTTTCCCTTGACTGGCTCAGGGTCCCTCTTCTTATGGGTCCGTTTCTCAGCCAGCAGCTTCATGACAACCCTGGCCTAGTGCCAGTGTTAGGCCAGCATTAAGACTGTTCTCTGGGCAAAAGTCTTTTATGAGAATCCTTGTTCATGCATGTCCAACCCTCTTTGGGCCAACTCTCAACCCTTTGGACAGCTCTCCTCTGAACCCTCAAAAGAGAGAAAATAAGTGGAATTTAAAAAACATATCACAGTGTGGCAAATACAATAATCAAAGTGGGATTGTGGCCTTCTCTGTGCCTCAGGATAACAGTTCTCAGCACTCTTGAAGAGTGAAATTTCTAGGTCCGATGAATGGTTTAAAATCAGGAGAGATGTGCATATCCTTCCATCATACTTACCCAATCTGTGCCTGACGAAACTTTGCCAGCTTTGCTCTACTCTGTGCCTGCTTGCGTGAGACAAGACTCTAACTGCTTCCCCCTTCACTGGGCACCCAACTCCCACTGATCATCTCCTGACCTGAGATACCCAGCTCTGATGATTTACCAACCACTGCCATCTGCTGGTCATGCGGTTCCCCCCAATATAGTCCCACTGTCATCATTTCTGTCACTGGACAAAGAAAGCTAATTTCTGTTTTCAGTGTTTTACCAACTCAATGAATATTACCAGTTCAGTTCTGAACTCATAAGCAGAGCTAGTAGGCTCCCATCACAAGGACCTTGGGCCAAGAGAATAGGCTCTCCTCACCCCCACCCCGCCTCCCCCAACCCCGCTCCTCTTATTGATCAAGTGAGATCAAGTGGGCCTCAAAATACACCCGTGAGTTTGGTTGTTTATACCAAGGTAAGTCAAAAAGCATCACTACAAAATCACAGAAACCTTTATTAAACAAAAATGTCAAAATGTGCAGCCTTTGTTTCTCAGTAGAACCTCCATCTATGTCTATATGCTTCTCAGGAGGGTGTTCCATCTCCCTCGCCCTTCCCTGAAGGACTCAACGCTCTTCAGTTTATACCATATCAAAATGGCCTTTTGATCGCCAATGCAGTTCTCAATTTCTTAAAATTCCTTCCTAATAAACTCCCGTGATTATCAGGCAGCTGTTCTTCAGTAAAGTCTCTCAAAATTACCCCCTTTGAAATTCAAAAACAGATGCCACAACCTTCTAACCTTCTGACCTTTCTGCCTTGAATTTCACTGGCCCAGCAGACCCCCTCAGCAGCCACTGTTTGGATGGAACCTTCATCTCAGAATTGTATTGGTACCTCCAAGACTTGTCCCTAGATTGATTTCACCATAAAATTGTCTCAGAATTGTATTCGTACCTCCAAGACTTGGTCCTAGTTCTGGTTTCTCCATAAAAGTGTGTTTATTAGTTTTGTTCTAGCTTCAGAGGCTGGTGGAAAGATAAGTTCTTGGACCTCGCTGATTTTCCTGCAACAATTTAGGCAGCCATTCAGCTGAGGCCCACATGTGTGTTTAAAATAGAAAATGTTCAACCATGTGAGCTCGCAACCTGGTAGCTATCTCATTGATAGCTATTCTGTAGTCTTCTTCCACCAGTTTCTGGACTTCAGTTACAGTTTCCTCCTTCACTTGTGTTGATAGTCTTCCCTATTGGGGCTCATCTTTGAGGTCTTCTTGACTGGTGTTAACACCCTGGATCCATCTAAAAGCTTGTTTTATGTCGGGCAACATTGCTGTTAACTTCTTGCAAAGCTTCAACAATATGGGAAATCAGTTCCACTTGAGTTTTGTTAAAATTTTGATATTATCCCTGGTCAGATTTTCCATGTATCTTTTTAAAAAAAGAACAAAACAAAGTAAGACGTGTTTTATGGCAAAAACTTGTCTGCTGCCATAATCTGATTGCAGAGACATGTTTAAACCCATTTTCCTTGGAATAAACTCATGCATGTAGAAAGTGGAACCCTAAACACAGCGTTTTTCTATAGGAAAACCCCTTGTTAGTTTCAAGATGCTACACTTCTAGATTCACCGATGGCTGCAACATCGGACCCCAGTAACAATTATGAGGCTGGCACAGGACCAAGCAATGTGTCCGTCCGTCTGTTGTACATAGGGTCGCTATGAGTCACAACTGACTGACAACAGCAATGAATGGTACACTGTTTAAATACTCCGTCGCTAATGGAAAGGTTGGTTGTTCAAATTTGCTTGTGGCTCCAAGGGAGAAAAGATCGGATGCTCTGCTCCTGTTCAGATGACAATCCAGGACATTCTGCAGGGTAGTTCTAGTCTGTCCTGCAGAACCGCTCTGGATCTAAATAAGATCAATGGCATGCGCAACAAGCAGAGCACACTCGTCTGGACCCGGCTTTGGGAGGAACCACTCATCTGTTGTCTGTAGTAATTGCACTATTTTACATTTTCAGCAGCAATGTGAGAGCAATGTTCCAATCTCACCAAACCTTATTGGTTTCTTTTTATTATTATACCCATACTAGTGAGTGAGGTGTCTCATTGTCATTCTCTCTTAATATAGATACAAAATCCATCCTAGAACCCATTTTAGAAGTGCACAGCATGATCTTATCTTAAATTTTCTTATTTTGTATCTGTGAACACTGCTATATTGAGAAGAGATTTCCCTAAAACTGGTGGCAAAGGATCAGCCATTCTCCCTGGGGCCATCATGATCAATGGCTGTTGAAATGCATTCCCCTTGGGCAGAGCCAGGTGTCTTTAATCAGTGATTAACAAAGATACTTCTAAAACTTGATGAGCTTTGGCTAGTAAAATGCTCCTCTGGGATAAATACCCAAACCCAGCCAGTGGCCAGTCCATACACACTGATGCATAGCCACCTACAGGACAGAAGAGACCTCCCTCAGGGTGTTTCTGAAGCTGTGTATCTTGATAGAAGCAGACTGCCTCATCTTTCTCCCACAGACTGACTGGTGTGCTTGAACCACCAACCTTTCAGTTAGCTGCTGAGTGCTGAGTACTTAACACTGTGCCACCAGAGTTCCTACAGAGACAAAACCCACACTATTTTTTAACCTGATAAACATTGAAGTTTCCCTCTATGTGTGCTGTGTGTGAGTCAGTGAGTGTGTGTGTGAAATGAAATATAACCAATGGTAATCCCCCCCATCCCTCTTTTGTTCAGACAAGGCAGTGGGTTAAACAACTTGGCCCTTACGAAATTACAAATTCTTTCCTCTCTCAGTAATTTAGTCTTTGTTGCCTAACGTCCTATGATTCTGCAGTCACTTATTTTACCTCTGATTACTATGATCAATACTTTACAAAAGTTACTCTCTCCCTCTTAAGAGCACCTAGTTTTGAGGACTAAAACCCTCATATGCACACGTATTACCTGGTTAAAGCAAAGAGGCATCAGGAGGAATTATTCTTTTAAAACTGTCAGCATCCACTTGTGTATTCTGAAATAGCTGGTGACATCGCCTTAAAGAGGAGTTCGGTTTCTATTTGCGTTTGTCTTTCGGTGGTGTAAATCAGCAGTACAGGCCCTGCTAGCGTGGAGGCTGAGCCCCACTGCACAGTGGGGCTGCCTGCTTGAGGAAGAAGAACTGGCAGGGAACTGGAGGCAGAGCCAACCCGGAGTGGCTGAGCAGGAGGCTGCAGCAGACCACTCTTCCAGAAAACTGCACCTTTCAGAGGATCATGGGCAGCATAGCAATTATGAAAAGGAAGACCTTTGAAAAGTATGAGACCCATTGAGAAGCCAAGGCCCCGAGGAAGGCCCCCAGGCTCTTAAAAAAATCATCGTAATTGAACATCCACTCTGTCATACACAGAAACTGTTCAGTTCCTAAATGACGTCTGTGAACTTGTAGGCGTGCCTACACTGATATCTGGGTCTTAGTCCTTTAGACACATGGACTGGAGCCAGGTCAAAAATCCCAGAGGCCAAAAGGCTGACATCCTAAAATTTCACGGAAAACCCCATTTGTCTTCCTGCTTTTCCCGGAATTGATAAGTCTGGGCACCTGCACGGCCTGGCCCGTGTGGATTTAGAGCGCCGTGGTCCACACCAGCCCAAGCCTTCTCATTCTCCTCTCCCACGGCTGAATGTCAACTCTCCGGGTGCAAAGTACAGCAGAGGCGCAGGCGGGGCCAGTGCGAGCAGCGCAGCCCTATCTTTCTGGAGTGAACACCTAGATGGATGTCCAATCCAGGGGCTGACACGTTCCGGCACCAAGCTCCTCCCGTGCTCCCAGCTGCGAGTCCTCCTTTCTGCAATCGATATTCCTCCGGGAGTCTAGGGAGCTCGGGGCGCTACCAGCTTCATTAGGAGATTCGCAACGGTTTACTCTGGCCCTGGAACACTCCCGCCTGCGGAAGAGCTGCCGGCCGTGCGACAACGGGGAAGCCCCTAAATGCAAGGTGGTTGTCTTTCCTCCTCTTAAGGCTCGCTTTGCGGGCCCACTTCCGCAACTCTAAGTATTAGCGTGGGCGCCCGTGTTGGGATAGGGCCAGAGGAGGGATTGGCCCGCGCAGAGAACGTCCACGCGTTGCGGACGCACATGCACTTTGCACGCGCGGGGCTGCGGAACAGCGCTGCTCCGGGTAAGCGCAGCCGGGAGCCGCGAGTTTGCGCGCAGCGGGTCGGAGGGGCAGGGAGCGGGAAAGAGGGCTCAGTGTCGGGCGCCAAGGCAAGAGGGGAAATAGGAGTGTCCCCAGGAAGGGGGCAGCACCTGAGGATACTGAGATGAACAGCAGATATCTGTGGCTGGGGTGGGGTTTAGTCTTTACTTTGGATCCAGTCGCGTGGGCTGGGACAGCAGCTACACCCTTGGTCTCCGCCCATCCTGCAAAAAGGCAGAGATGCAGGCAGAGACGGAGGCGAGGTCCCGCTGAAGGATGCGTAAATGGTGCTGCGGGCAACCTGGCAACAGCTGTTGAGCTGTTGGAGTGGAGTCCAGCGCAGGACGGGGAAGGGAAAGAGATTAGGGGCGGGCAAAGGAGAAACACCTAAGCCACCCTCTCCGCTCTCCCCTCCGCTCCCCCCCACCCCCCACCCCGCTGCTGATGCGCCAGGGTTGCCTATTCCTCATTCACCGGCCCAAAGCCGCGCCGGTTACCAGCTGCGCCGCGCAGGGCTCCGGCTTCCCAGCATCCCCACTCCACGCTTGCCCGGCCCAGGCGCCCCGGGGCGACCAGCGAAGGTGTGCAGGCGGCCACTAGGCTTTGCGCCCCTGGTGCCAGGCTGAGCCTTGCTCTCCCAAGCCGCTGCGCGCTCCCGGGAGGCGCGAGTCCCCTGCGACTGGTCGGCCGGGGTACCTAAGGAGGGCGCAGGTGGTGGGGAAGAGCACCCCAGCCACACCGATCCCCCCCCTGCCCCCCGTTGGGATGTTCCCCAATGGCACCGCCTCCTCTCCTTCCTCCTCTCCTAGCCCTAGCCCCGGCAGCTGCGGCGAAGGAGGCAGCGGCGGCGGCGGGGGTCCTGGGGCTGGCGCCCCGGACGGCATGGAGGAACCAGAGCGCAACGCGTCCCAAAACGGGACCTTGAGCGAGGGCCAGGGCAGCGCCATCCTCATCTCCTTCATCTACTCGGTGGTGTGCCTCGTGGGGCTGTGTGGCAACTCCATGGTCATTTATGTGATCCTGCGCTACGCCAAGATGAAGACGGCCACCAACATCTACATCCTTAATCTGGCCATCGCCGACGAGCTGCTCATGCTCAGCGTGCCCTTCCTGGTCACCTCCACGCTGCTGCGCCACTGGCCCTTCGGCGCGCTGCTCTGCCGCCTCGTGCTCAGCGTGGACGCCGTCAACATGTTCACCAGCATCTACTGCCTGACTGTCCTCAGCGTGGACCGTTACGTGGCCGTGGTGCACCCCATCAAGGCTGCCCGCTACCGTCGGCCCACTGTGGCCAAGGTGGTGAACCTGGGCGTGTGGGTGCTGTCGCTACTCGTCATCCTACCCATTGTGGTCTTCTCGCGCACTGCGGCCAACAGCGACGGCACGGTGGCCTGCAACATGCTCATGCCGGAGCCTGCCCAGCGCTGGCTGGTGGGCTTCGTGCTGTACACGTTCCTCATGGGCTTCCTGCTGCCCGTGGGGGCCATCTGCCTGTGCTACGTGCTCATCATTGCCAAGATGCGCATGGTGGCCCTCAAGGCCGGCTGGCAGCAGCGTAAGCGCTCGGAGCGCAAGATCACCCTGATGGTGATGATGGTGGTGATGGTGTTCGTCATCTGCTGGATGCCTTTCTACGTGGTGCAGCTGGTCAATGTGTTCGCGGAGCAGGACGACGCCACGGTGAGCCAGCTCTCCGTCATCCTGGGCTACGCCAACAGCTGCGCCAACCCCATCCTCTACGGCTTCCTCTCCGACAACTTCAAGCGCTCTTTCCAGCGGATCCTGTGCCTCAGCTGGATGGACAACGCTGCCGAGGAGCCGGTCGACTACTACGCCACGGCCCTCAAGAGCCGGGCGTACAGCGTGGAGGACTTCCAGCAGGAGAACCTGGAGACCGGCGGGGTCTTCCGCAACGGCACCTGCACGTCCCGCATCACCACGCTCTGAGCCCAGCCTCCAAGGGGCGCCTCACTTAGAGCAGAGCCCTACGGGAGAAAGGCAAGCCTGGCTGGGTGCGAGTCCAGGAGCTCTTCCGGAAGGCGCCCGCGGGCAGGGGTGGGGTGGAGGGGATGGTCTTGCACACCACACACGCCTCCTCAGGAACAGTGACCCAGGAAAGAGCGCCACGGAGATAGAGTTGGGTACTTCGTTTCTAAACTGGGATGGTCTTCTGGTGCCTAGGTTCCTCCTTGTGGGCACTTCCATTGCCACTGTTCCCTTCGCACCCTCTAAAGGACCCCTGGAACGTCACCCCTCCTTCCATTCTGCCCAGTGCAGATCTTGAACTCTTCATTCCCCCCTCCCCATCCCCCCACTCCACCTGCCCTTCAGCCTGCCCTTTCTAACCGCTCTTCCTGTTGTGTTTCAATTGAGCCACGGTTTCTTCTGCGGGACTCAGCCTGGCATCCCTCCTCTAGCCAGGCCGCCTGCCAGGCTTTGTCTCCCGCCCCTGTGGGAGTCAAGGGAGCAATTGTCCTCCCTTTGCGCACCCCTACTTTAAGGGCAGCCGACTCCAGAAAGAAGAGGCAGCTGCACTTTCCTCCTCCCCTGGGGGGTGGAGGGGGCTGCGCGCGCTCCCGGAATTTCCGCTCCCCTCCCACTCCATCAAAGTGGAGCCAGGTGCTCTCTAAACTCCATCCCGTGTCTGAAACCCAGATTGTAGTCCCCCACCCCCACCCCGTCAAGCTTCCTTTGAAGCAAAACTGAGCTGAGAACAAGGGGGGTTGTTTTTGTTTTGTTTTTTGAGGGACGAGCTGAGGGTAGTTGTAATGGAAACCGTCCCGCCATCAGAGCTCTGATGGCGCTCTGGGTTTAAAGACCGAGAAGTGCGCAGGTCTGGAGTCTCAGTTAGGCGGGGCACACAGAGCAGGGTGCTCGTTCCCAGGGGCTGCCTGTGGAGTGCCGCTGCAGCTCCGCTGGGCGACCTTGCTCACCAAAAGCTCTGGAGAAACCAATCTAAGAGCCCAAACAGACTCGGTTTCCTGCTCCGGTGTTTGTCCAGAATCCAGCACCAGGCTGGGATTTAGGGCGCTGCCTTCTGAACTTAAAACCCTGACACACCGCCTAAGCCTGCAAACCCAAGTGTATGGCCTGCCTGGCTCCAAAGGTTCCTTCCCTTTGAGCAGTGCCTACTAAGTTATTTTCTTGTTTAACCTATATGTTTACTTGTTAGTCATGTTTGAAAATGTGTTCCTGCGTCCCTTTTCTGGATTCACCTAGCTGGGGGCCAGCTCTCCAGGACTTTGGAGAGAGAAGGTGGTTGCAGGTGGAGATGGGAGTGAGTTGGAGGGGAGGGGGGTGGGACTCTCTCTCCAAGAAACCTCACGAAGTTCATTTGCGGAGACCTCTTTTGTTTTCTTATCCTTTCTTCTAACTTTTCTGTTTCTGCTGATGTCCAGTGAAGCTTGTGGGTTTTTTGAATAGTGTTTTTTAAAAAAAACTGTAGTCTCCTATTTGTCATATAGTAATCAATATAAATGATAATGTGGTTAGCTTCCTTCTCACACCATGTGAAAAGCCCCAAACTCCTGCTTTAAGTATCATTCTATATATGATTTGAGCAGAGGTATAATATATATGTACATATATATATTTGCATATATATATATCAAAGAGTCGGTGGAAAAATTCCATCCTCCTTTGATTCTAATTATCCACGAATCAAAGAGTGACAAGTGCGAGGCTGGCTGGAGCACTTTGAGATTCAAGGGTTCAAGAAGCATTCAAAGTTGGAGCTGAGAAATCCAATTCAGGCACAGACTGAACACTGCTGAGGATGCCACTGCTGTGTCCCTGTTCTCTCTGGGTTCCAGGAGAGGCAATTCCAACGGGCAATGTAGGTACAGCATCACTTCTTTTGAAGATCTGCAGAGTGGAGTAGTTTGTGTCTGTGTGATCTCACCAACCACTTTGGAAGCCTGAGTAGGGCAAGCACCAATCATTGTTCTACCCCGACCCCTGTATTGCTTTAATATACTGACTGCTGACGTGTACATAATAGGCACTAAATACATGTTTGCTGATTGATTCTTTAAGTAAGCCAGGCTGTATTATAAGGATCAGGAGATACTACATCTGGAGTTCTCAGGTTCTCTCATTGGCATGGTACGCAATGGTTCAAAGTACTGTCTGAAAAGATGTTTTGTGTATATTGGCTTCAAAAATATTTTGCTTTCCTGAAAGCAGTAATCTAGAGTTATCATGTCCCGAAAGCTTGTGTTTTGTTTAAACTAATGAACAAATATGCTTTGGTCATAAATGAGAATATTTATGTATATAATATATATACTTATATATATATCCTTTGGAAAAAAGGTTTTTAATGGTTAAGAACAGTGACTTACAAATCTAAGTCTTGATCATGAATGTTTTAAGGGGATATCAACATCTCGCTCTTAACTGGAGGTCATCATTGTACTAAATAAACACAGCTGTATGATACTGGTGCAAGTTGTCTGACTTTGTTATTTGGATTTTACTTGATGGTCTTGTGCAGGAGTCCTCAAACTTTTTAAACGGGGCCAGTTCACTGTCCCTCAGACCCGTTGGAGGGCCGGACTGTAGTTTTTTTAAAGACTATGAACAAATTCCTATGTACATTGCACATATCTTATTTTGAAGTCAAAAACAAAATGGGGCAAAAACACCTCAGCGGGCTGCATGTGGCCCACGGGCTATAGTTTGAGGACACCTGGTCTTGTGTTTCATCTAGATTTTAAGAAGAAAGGTTTTAGGTTACCTTTGGAAAATTTACCAAAATTTTTATTGTTCTTTCAATTCTTTAAAATAAAATACAGCTGTTAGTTTAGGGAGGGAAGAAAGAATCAATAGTACGCAGGTAAGGACCATCATCTTTAGGGACAACTACATCCACTGGCATAACCTAGTTCATAAAAATAGCGTTCTCCGTCTTAGTTTGGTGCATCTTAGCTGGGATTTTAAAAGTGTGAGAGCAGCCATCTAAGACACAGCTGTTGTACTCTTCCTGATTGGACTGTGAAGGCAACCGAAGGCTTAAGGAAATTATTCATCAACAAGACTAATGTCCAACAGGAACCATAATGGCACGAGGCCAGAACTAGACAGTGCCCAGCTACCCTGCCATCCACGCTGAACAGTGACACAAAAGAAAGTCAAGAAATACCAGACTTCATAAGAAAAACTTAGACTCACAGACCCTGGACGAACCCCAAATTATTTCACTAAGGCAGCCTTTTACCTTGGAACAAAAGTCACTCCTGGAGGTCACCTTTCAACCAAATATTAGATTGGCTTTTGTGAAGAATGTGCTCCATAGAATTATCAACTATGTGAGACCAACTGGGCTGAATTTCCCTAAAAGCCTAGCTAGGAAGGCTGGGAGGAGTGGGCTCTGAAGGGAGGACGAGGGAAAGCAGAGTGGGAGTGGAGAGGGTGCTGATGCAGGGTAAGAGAGGAGGGGCCCCAGGACAAGCCACAAAGTCCTGGAACACTTTGTAGCTGAATTGATGAAGGGGAATGGAATCTGTATGTAACCCTTCACCAAAAACATCCTAAGAAAGAAGTTCTTCAAAGGATGAACAGGAAGCAGTTGACTTGGACTGCCTTCTCTGCGGTTTTCTTTTGTCATGAAACTAAGGAGTTGATCCCTTCATCTCACAAGTGTTAAATTACTGTCTGTCCTCACTAAGGAGTTCAGACTGTGGTGGGAGCTAAGGAATCACTGATTTATATCCTGACGAAAATAGAAGAAGCAATAATAACAAAAAAATCTTCTCAAGGTATTGTAGTGGGAAGTGGGTATAGGAAATTGCAAACTCGGAATTCAGCAAAGATATGGAAGGCATATTTTGTGGTTTCTTCCATGATGACCATTCCCACCCTGGAAAGATTTAAGAAGGTACTAGGCTCTAGTAACTAGAGGAATCTTTTCCAAGCAGGCTATTGAAATGATTCCAGAGCCAGGGAGTTCTGAATGCCTGCAGGTGCCCTATAACTCTAAGACTTATCATTCTATACATTATCTTAGTATGACTGACGGTAGCTGGACTTTAGTCTTTTTTATTATTTTTAAAAAGCTACAGCAGGGTGATAAATTAAATCCATAACTTAGATGTGCACAGAAAACACATTTTGCTGTTTGGATTTTTGCTAATGCAACCCCTATTCCAAACTCTTTACAACTGATTATCTGGGAAGAAAAATTCAACCTATTTTCAAAGAGCCCATTCCCAGAAATTTTCATTTACTTATGTTTGGACTGTCTTACAGGGGGCTTCTTGTCAGCACTCCCACTGTTGGCTTTTGAATGGAGATTAGGAAAGGGTTTTAGGCATCCTAGTGAAAGCACAAAGTGAGACCTATGGGACAGAGGCGCTCTGAGTCCTTGGCTCTCAGGGACTGGCCAAGTCATTTGTCCATCTACACCTACAAGCTCCCATTGAACTCACAGCCCTCAAGTGCATTCCAACTGAGAGCAGCCCTAGAGGACAGCGTAGAACCGCTCCCGTGGCTTTCCAAGACTGGAACTCTTTACAGGAGCAGAATGCCCTGCCTTGCTCCTGCAGAGTAGCTGGTGGTTTCAAACTGCTACCTTGTGGTTATCAGCCCAAAACATAACCATGATACCATCAGAGTTGCAATCTGTTGAAATCTGAAGTTGCCAGAGCCTGTGATTTGATCTCTCAGGTCGGTGAGGGACATACCTCAGCTCCTCCGTCTGCCATGGTCCTCACACAGCCTAATATCTTGGTGGTCTGTCCCAGCTTCTGTCAAGGAGCAGTCTCATCCTGCAAAGGCAGTTCCTTATGGTGAGCTGCTTTATCCAGTGACTAGAGGAGACAGGGATGGCTCTAGACTAATGACCGCCAGGGCCCCCCAGGCCTCCTCTCTTTGTGTTTCTCTGTCCTTGGTCTTTTTACCTTTGTCACCCTCATTTATTAAAATGCTCCAAATGCCTGATGAGTACCGGATGCTGAGAAGTTGATTCCAAGTCGTGGTGACCCCAGGTGTTCTGTGCCTCAATTTGCAAGCTACACTACCTGTGGGACACCTAACCTGTGGACTGTGTCGCTGTAATTTGAGGTTCCCTTAAGACCTGCTTCGCCATACAATTGGAATTTACATCTCTTGAGCTGGGGACTGACTGTTGGTGACCTGACTGACTGTTGGTGACCTGCCTTGCTGTTTGCTGCCTGTGCCAGGATAGCCTGAATCTCTCTACAGAGGACTGACTACCTGGCGGCCCTCAAGTCTTGAAGGACTGCCAGTGTCTCACAACTGTCTAACACATTTGCATTGTACTGAGCCATTTGTACTGCTTTATAATTTAACTGTTTATTTCTTGTGTTATCTATCTATCTATCTATAAAATTATTAGCAACCTGGTTTTGTCTCTCTAGAGAACCCTGTCTAACACAAGGCCTAAGAACAGAAGTAACCAGTGCAAGCTAACATGTTAAAATGTCAACTTGTCAAACTGTTGGAGAAATAGAGAACATAATCTAAAAGGGAGATGTAGTTTTAAATGCAAGTCTTTTGGTAAGATTTGGTAATAAATTTGGGTAACAAATGTAATTGCAGTCAAAATATATATTAGAGTCAATATAAATAACCCAAAACTGTAAATACTATATAGATTTAAGACTAAGACAACAGGCATGATACCAAAATTCCAAAACTCTAGGACAGTGATTCTTCACCTCCCTAATGCTGGAACCCTTTCATACAGTTCCTCAGGTGGTGGTGACCCCCAACCATAACATTATTTTCATTGCTACTTCATAACTATAATTTTGCTACTGTTATGAAACATAATGTACATATCTGATTTGTAGGATGTTTTCATTGTTACAAATTGAACATAATTAAATGTAATTAAAGCATAGTGATTAATCACAAAACAATATATAATTATATATCGTGAAATATTTATGTGTTTTCCGATTGTCTTAGGCGACCCCTTTGAAAGGGTCATTCGACCCCCACAGGGTTCGCCACCCTTAGGTTGAGAACCACTGCTCTAGGGAATAATCATGACACTAAACTTGAAAGGTTAATATGTCTGTTAGTCAAATGATTCACAGCTTCACATTTATGTGAGCAAGAAGGGTAAAAGGAAATGAGATGTGGTGAATGCTCTCAGCCAACACACTCCCGCTAGAGTGGAGGCTCACTGGAGCCTTCTCCTCAGCACCCGCAGGCCCAGAATTGTTACAGATGAGCACCTCATGTCCACCCAGCTCTACAAAAGACTGACCAGGTAGGAGAGCCCACTTAGAGGCAGTTATACTAAAGGAAAAAGATACAATATTATTTTCACAATAAAATATGTTTCAAAGGATAACCAACTCTCCATTAAACTTTTTGTAAAGGGGTGGGGGGGCGGAAACCCCAAAAACCAAGTCATGACAGGCAAGCAGGAAAAATGTTCACGGCTGTGCATGTGGCTTACATAAGTGTGCTGGGGAAGAGTGGTCCAATATCGATGAACTCTTTCTGTCTGTCGCCCCTGAATAATTCATTTGAATAGCTAATGTTATTTGTAATGGCCGATGTCTATTCAAAGTCAATAGCTAAAGTGAATATTCTCTTCATGTCCAATCAGCCACGTAAGTAGCAAATCAAGCAGAAAAGCTTTGTTCAAAAGACTCTCGAGTCTACTTTTAAACAAAATCTGTCTGGATCTAACAAATAACAAAACAAACAAACAAAAACCCACAAGAAAAGAAAACATTAATGAATTAAAAAAGAACTTGGAAGGTGAAGACTGGGGAGCAAGAATGTCAAGGGTCTGTCTTTTGGCTGCCCTTCTTCAGAAATATGCATTTCCTAGATACTTTTTATTGCGGTAAAAATACATATATGTAAATAAAAGACTCACCTATCCAATCACTTTTATATGCACAATTTAGTGAGTGTGCATATAATGAATATAGACATTGACTATATTCATCTTGTAGGACAATATTTGCCATTATCCTTTTCCAAATTATTCCACACCAGTAATATGTGGGATCATGCAATACTTGTCTTTTTGTGACTGACTTACTTAGTTTAGTACATTTTTCCCCCAAGGTTGTCCATGCTGTAGCATGAATCACAGGACTTCATTTTTCTTTAGGTTAAGTAATAATATTCTATTCTGTGTGTATTCCATATTTTGTTTATCCATTATCTGTTGGTGGACTTTTTGTTTCTTTTTAAAATCATTTTATTGGGAGCTCATACAACTCTTATCACAATGATGGACATTTTTAAGTTGATTTTTTAACTGACACACATAAGGAAAAAGTTTTGAAGACCTAGCTTCAGGATATACTTGATCCAGAAGTTACATTGTGTCACGGACCTTTTGTTCAGTTTTTAGTTCTCATTTCAGGTTCTGCCATGCTAGCTCAATCGTCAGACTGGCTATTCCTTTGTAAATAAAGAAATGTGGATTTATAAGACATCTGTAGGGAAAATA